TAATAGATACAATAATAATACTTTATATTTAGCTATACCTGTTGTTCCAGTTATGATCTTATTGGCAGTTGATAACGGCTACTACATTACAAGTACAAAAAATTCAGAATTGTGAGTGCTTAATAATCTTAGACAATTAGTTATTCCCAATATAGTTGCTTCATTGGTAAAATGGTACCATTGCTGGCAGCGTTCTTGTCACCCATTTTCCTCATCATCATCATTAATACAATTGTGTTCATAATTGTCATTCGAACTACTCTTAAAAATGCCATTAATAGAAAAAAGCGGATGAGCAATTCTTCTCTCTCTGTATCAGAAGTACTAAAGATGTTATTGTCTTTTACTGGTATTATGATCCTCTTTGGTTTAACTTGGGTATCTGCTGCCTTCACTTTCATATCTGAGCCTAGTGTATCTCATACAGTCCAGTTTATATTTGCATTTTGTAATGCATTTCAAGGATTTTTCATTTTTATATTTTTTATTTTGCTCAATAAGGAATATAGGAAACTCTGGAAGGCTCGTTTTGTTCAGTGTTTCCCTAGGGCTACAATTCACAGTTACTACAAGTCTGGACACAGTACCAAGAGCAAGTCAAAAAATGAAAATAATCATGCTATTTCAAATCATGTATCCCTTAATGATAGAAACAAAGAGAAGATGAAAGATACTTCACTGTAAACAGAAAGATTTTTGTAATTAATAGTAGCTTGATATAATAGACAGTTGAGTTTAGTGTGTGCTTTTTTATTTGCCTTATTAGCTGACAGTTCATTATTATTAAATATGATGAGAGAGATGTGAATATGAATCTCAATCATCTCATCTTCTTTCATGAGCTCCTAGAGACATGTTTTGTGTGAGAAATTTGTGTAATTCTGGTTGTGGAAATATAAGCTTGAGTTATTACAGCAATAACAATAATTCTTTGTTCTTACAAAATTAAAAGTAAAATCAGTAGGGAAATGGAATCTAAAAACAATTAAGAATGTATGCTATGCAGGGCTTCCCACAAAGCATTCTAAGTGAGCTAAACAGAACACTACAATACAGTATGTGACATTTGGAGCAACTTTAAAATTCATTTTAAAAATCCAAATTTTTAAAAACTATATTAAAAATACTTAATCATTTACTTTGCTTACATTGTCTTTAACTTGGAACATAAAGTGAGTGAGAAAGTCTCAGTTGGTCTTGATTGGCTACAGCATTAAAGGAAAACATTGAAATACCTTTTTACTTACTGTTAATGTTACCCACGTGCTTTCACGTGGTCCATTAAATCATTAATTTAATGGGCGGAGATTCAAAAATGGCCGCTCTTTTAAACTGCCTTTCTAGCAAGAAAGAAGTGGACCGTGTCATAAAAAGCACTGAAGATAAAGTCCTTGTACTGAGATTTGGAAAGGAAAGTGATTCAACGTGTCTCAAACTAGACGACATTGTTAGTTGAACACTACACCCTGTATCTAACCACAGAAATATCGGAATTTTAAAATAAAAAAATGTATCATGTTGTTTAATTGTTTATCCTTAGCTAGCTAAGAATCAGGAGTTAGTATCGAACATGGCAGTCATATATACAGTGGACAGTGAGTCTGTACCAGTATATATGCAGTATTTTGATATTGTAATGATACCGTCTACCGTGTTCTTCTTCAATGGACAACATATGAAAGTTGATTGGGGGTAAGACTATATTTGTAAATCTTTATTAATTTAAGAAGTAATTGTTAGAATTTTACTGGAAGCTTCTCTATTCCTAAACCTATGATTAGTATATGTATTTTATGTGTATATACATGTATAATGCATGTAAAAATTCTCTCTGAGTAATTTTTGGTGAACTATACTAATGCATGTAGTACAGGGACATTGGACGGATTTTTGAGTAACTTTAAAAATTTGTAAAAAATCCAATTTTGATCGGAATCAACTCAAACTTGCTACACAACATAAGAACATGTATATGTATCAGGAAAAAATATAAAAATGGAAAATTCTCTCCTTTTCATTTTTGGCGAAATTTGACTCGTGACCCTGTACTATAGTACAGGGACGTTGACCTGATTTTTGAGCAACTTTAAAAAATCGTAAAAAATCCAATTTTGATCAGAATCAACTCAAACTTGCTACACAACGTAAGAACATGTATATGTATCAGAAAAAATATAAAAATGGAAAATTCTCTCCTTTTTATTTTTGGCGAAGTTTGACCCGTGACCTAGTCTCGCCACGCCCCTTGCCGCGGAGGAGAGCGGAAGGGTCTGGGGACACTGTGTAGAAAAGTTGTGCACTATGCCAGAATTTCGGGCGTCCCAATCAGATTGCACGAGTCACGTGTAATGTAAATTGTCACGAGAGTGTCATGTGATTTAGTTATACTAAAATGGAGAATTTGGAACTTGTTGTAGAAGAAAGCGTAAGGAAACTGGGCTACAGTAGTATTAGAGATGAACAGAAGCGAGTGATCCTATCTTTTGTCAAGGGAAATGATGTTGTTGCTTGTTTGCCAACCGGTTACGGGAAATCTCTTTGTTATTTTTGTTTGCCATTTGTTTTTGATGAGTTGTACTCAGTGAAAGACTCGACTGATTCG